TTCTCATTTAGCGCTTGTGCATCCGTTTTCAGATTTAAACTGCTTCGAGCTATGTCTCTCCTGCCACATAAATCATCAGAGAAGTTAGAACGGAGCATTAGAGTTGTTCATTGCTTGACACACTTTTATGGAGACTCAAAATCAGTTTATATGCAAAAACACTTCAACCTATCATTCGAATTTGCAATACAATTAATAAATATCCATGAAGAATTGACTAAATAGAGATCATTGAATAGTTTCCATTTATATCTGCAGCCTTCCTTGATTCAGTATGATATTAATAAACACCCTTCTGATAGACATATTCATGTTTAGTTATTAATCTGAGTCAAACTAATGCTAACAGAATTTTCTTTGAATCCTAGTTCACCATTCTGTTTTGTAAGTGTTTATGCACATTGTGCATTGCATCATCATCTAAATCATTTCATTACTAAGTTTGTGACACCAGACGTTGATTTCAAGACCTACCATGATACAAGTCAAGTTACAAGATTGTTATGTCTGGAAATTGATTTTGTCCTTGAAGCGGGGTAGTTTGTGTTGGTGCCAAGCTTTTTTCTTTATCCCATTAGTTTAAGAAAAATAAGGTAACTTAGAGACCATTATCAAACGCCTCTATTCATTACATAATTTTTCTTTGGATGGTGATTTAATAGACTGTATGTTATGTGAAAAACAGGTTTTAAACTAATAAAGTCCTTTTTAGACTACGATGACATCATCGTCAAACCATCTCAATGGGCATTAGAACAAGGTTTTTTGGGATTTTTCAAGTTGAATTAAGGAGAGTAGCAACATTCGTTGGAATGATAAAAACTAAAAGGCATTCGAAGGCCTAGATTGACATCTGACGATGTACACAGTTTCAGTTTTTAAATGAAGGTTTTGTGTCACAACTAGGAATATCTTATATTATTCTATTTTTAACAAGGTGCTGAATAGACAAAAAACTTTCAGCCACAAGGATTTTCTTCAAAGCTTAGACAAAAGTTCATGTGAGAAAATCTCGTGTTTTCGTGAGATAGATTCATACCAAACCTTATAACAAAAGACACCCATGTATGTATTCTTGAACTTCTTGAAAATGCTCAAGGGAGTTGATCGGAACAGTACAATGCACCAGGATACCTATGCTGGACAATCGAAGAGATTCGAGGCCTACAAGATAATGTGTCAGTTAATAAATTCTATAGTGTTTGGGGAGTCCTGGTCTATGTCCCGTGCTTTTCCGAAGTTAGGTTTCCATATTTAGAAATACTTCTCTTGTGATTGATCGATAAAATAATATCTGTTGTGGGATATAAATTTGGTATATTAAAAAATTTTCAATCAAAAGGATTCAAAATATGTACAATTGAAAACTTTCCAATGTCTGGAAACAATTATCCCCATGGAGGGGACCTTGAGGATGATGTTATCCATGGAATTATAACATAACGGACTAAGTGAAGGAAAACATCTTATGTATTATGTGATTATAGTATACCTCTTCAACTCATAGGTACGTTCTATAAGACGACCATTAGGCTAGCAATGTCTTCCAGGCCAGAGTGTTGAAAAAGTAAAGAAAAAACACACTCAAAAACAAAATGTGGCAAAATGATGAAATTAAGATAGATGGATGGTAAAACCAAAAATAGTAGAACTGGGAATGGATATATTTGTGAAACAGTAGAAGTAACACCAACAAGAGATAGAGAGAGTAAACTTGGAGGACAAGTTGCACCCAGAAAGAAGAATCATATAATACAGAATTCTACTTATGCGATGGATAGAGTTAGATCGATGAACGAGATTGTGAAAAAGAATATGATGACTTGTGGATTAACAGAAAATATGACCTTGATAGAAACAATGACAAAACATGACTCATGTAGTTGACCTCAAATTTATTTATGATATATTGGGAATTGGAAATTTTACCTAATTTGATTGATTTAGGCGCTGTGGTTACATAGATTTATTTATTCCACACAACCATTGATTTTTGTGTACCACCATAAATATCGATCAGTTGTTATTTCTGTTGACTGGATTTATCATCAAATACTCCTATTTGTTGAATTGGTCAAGATTAAAATTTGGAATGGTTTTCAAATAGACATATTTAAGCTATTTCGTTTTTCCCTTCCACTAGCTCAGAATCAATAGCGATAATGCGTTTTTACCCACTCTCATCCAAATTTACCTATTTTATCGAATTCTTTTTAAGTTTAACCTTTTGATTTTTAAAACCTTCTATAATACCCAAGATTTTATTAGAACTGCAAAAAACAAATAGAAAGGAGAATGGACACTCCACCTGTGTGTCAAAACTAAACAAGCAAGCAGACCCTCCACCATGGGTCGACTATGATATCAAGGAATGGCAAGCTGAAATCAGTCTCATCTACCATGTATGAATGGATATTCCTATAAACACAGTTGTATTTGTGTATCCTACTTAGATTAAGCACCTGGAGACAGGCAATTTCTCATTTTGAATAAGAATACTAACAACAGGGAGTAATTTCTAAATTACAATGTCTGTCTGAACAAATGCAAGGTAGTTCTATTATTTTAATAAGTAAATGATAGAAACCCAAACTATCAAACATGACATCGGTCCGATAGAAAGTTAGAAACAAAATAGTGAAATTTAGATCAAATGACAACAAAATGTCATATTAGCATTTTTACCCTCATAATTTATAAATCTATAGCAAGTTATGTCATATCGTAGGATTAAACAAACAATCGCGAAACAAAATGTGCCAGATCACCTATAAGCATAATTGACATAAAAATGAGATGGCAGATCTATAGTACACTTTTGAGATGGAATAAACTTTAACAAAATATAATTCGAACAAAAATTAAATAGAAAAATACTTGGATATGTCTGTCAAATCTTGTTTCAAACACTTGTTGTCCTCTAATTTCATCAGAGACTGCAACTCCTTTACCTTCTCATTGATCTAGGACAAGCAAATTATTTAAAACATCAGAATGACTCTGCAACAAACTGCTTTATCTTAAGGATAAAACTGGTGGTGGGCTAATCATTGAACCACGCAAACAAATAGTACAAAATAGATACATTTGATAGCGTAACGAAGATTAGAAACCAGAAAGATTAAAAAAAAAGCAGAAAGATAAAGCAGCTGGACTTCCAGAGGGATCTGGGTGCAGTTGTTGAGTGCTTAAATAGGAAATTATCTTCAGTAGAGATTCAAATGTCAAGTTGCCAAGCTAGTGATAGCTTTTCCTTCTACATCTAGAAATATGCACAAAGGCCCTTGCAACACTTAACTCTTATTAGTTCAGAAGCAAGTGCCAATTTGCAGCTTTCTTTTTTAATTGTGTTGATTCCCAAATGAGAGTTCCCACAAGTCGCGGGAGAGCTAGAAGAGAGCTTGGATAATTGTAGACCAGACTAGGTCACAAGAGAGGCAACAGAGACCAGCTCAATATCATTCAATGGATGGCTGAAATAAAATTTCCAAACCTTTTTGACACACATAAGCATGACAGTACGAGGTTCGTCTCCTCAGAGAGGCAATACACTTTAAGTTTAAAACAAATATACGATAAACAAAAGAAGTAATATAAACAAGTAGTGGAAGTAACACACATTACTCTGCAATAGTACCTCATTGACACCCTTTGTAAGGTTTTCCCAACTCTTGAGCAACTGACACAATGCTGGTGGTGGCAAATCCCTGATTAAAATAAGCTTCAGTATCCTAATGAGATCATAAGAATGAATGAATTTAATAATGTGCAGAAATGAACTTATAGTGTAAGCTGGTGGCCATCAAACCTTTTATTCGACAATGTTTTGCGTAATTCAAAAAATCTGATAATTAGTTGAATTTCATGGCTGTTGGCAGTGAGTCAGTGACAAGTTTCTTTCCCCAACACCATAAATGAGATCATTTCTTTTGCTGTGACTAACAGAGTAATAGTCCCCCCCTTTTCCTTTTCAAAATTTTGACAAAATTCACATTCATGTATCAAAACTTCTCCAATCCCAAATATTGCATTCTTGAAGTAAGACAAAAATGAAAGTGTGAATTGTTTACGGTTATGTACACATCTTACTGAATAAAATATAGGTTCTCAGTAACATAGACAGAAAAAGAGGACCTCATACATGTGCCACAGATATAAGAGTTGTTTACCGCATAAAGTTATGAAAAACGACCAAAATGAAATGATGCTGAACAATTCAAAACTGAGATCTCAGGAAAGTCCCAAAAGTGCTAAGATCTTATTAAGTTATATACAATCTACACGTCTAAAGAATGAAAAAAGTGCATAATGATTCTGGTGTCTGGGCAAAGTGACAATTATGTGGAAAGCCATGTTACACCACATGATATCAACAAAAGGTGAGGGTTTTATGTGTAGAAATATCCAAAGGGATTTGAGAGGTAAAAAAAGATGCAAAGTCAGCTTCAGCATACTTCTCAAAGCCAAAGAACATGCTTATGAGAAACAAACATCTCAGTAATGTTGCCCAAGATCTTATTCAATAGGACTAACAAGAAGACCTTCATGTTGTTAACGACACTATACATGGTTGGATGGCCTAAGCATGTTGTAAATAGCTAATACTATAATGTCACAAACAAGGCCTCATGAAAGGCCGGAGATAATGATAAAAATAATTTATTCTCTGGTCATTTCTTTTGGAGCTTGTTATGCTAACTATCACTAGTAGCTTTGTTCTACCTCATCTATGATCAGTGCTTACATTCTCCAGCCGAAGCATTTGTTATATTCAGAACAATGGGCATTACTTGGAAGCTTGCGGAAAACAGGTGGACAGGATAGCAGCATGACTAGTGACACTCACTGCATCCCTTTATCAACAGAATAAAGTCCGAGGGAAGTTATTTCTCTGAATGATAATGGGACTTACTCTACAAAAGAATTAACAATCCAGATGATGGAGAAAATCAAGTTCTACATACATCAGTAAATTTTGCCCATCATTCCCTGAAAGCCACTAAACCAAATTAGATGATGAAACTTATATTGCAAAATCATAGAAATAAGAGACAGATCTGACAAGTTACGCATAAATCAAGTTGGTGAAACGGTACAAGAAATAATGGAAATAGACAAAGAGGATCTAAATGACCTGTTTGTGTAAGTTACTATGCAATGCATCCATGGAAATTGTAGATACATCAATATTGACAACTCAACTCCGAAAGAGTTGTCTGAGAAGAGTTATTGACACAATTTAATTCAAAATCAGGTTCACGAAATACAGGAACATGCCCAAGAGTTAACAAGAAGTGGCATCAATTAGGCCATGCAAATAGGACCGGTCTAACACTCTGACGTAAGACATATCCAGGGGAAAAACAAGGAGTTTCTGGTCTATGGTATTGAAGCAACTATATAGAGAGTAAGGAGCCAGTATAAGTTGAGTTCTTCCATTGAGTTTTTGACTAAAAGTTTTGTGGATAACGCCAGAACACACAGCATGATCACCAGGTGAAGGTTAAATTCTATAGTATGCAGGTAAAGATAAGTGTGGACCCAAGTGTGCAAAGAGACTTGAGATGGTGTTACTTATATTCATATTACTGCTTTTACTGTAGTTAATTTTCTGTATCCTTTTTTTTGGTACAAGTGGAGGACTTCTTGCCCTCTTTTGTACGCTTTTTACATTATTATTAGTAATAATCTTTGGTTTTACGGAAAAAAAAAGGTAAAGATGTTTAAAAACATTAAGTTGAATGAAAAAAATTCAATTATAGCCACAGAAAGACAATTACCCACCTTACTCTGCGAATTGCTTGACAGATGATACCACCTTTGCACAAGCTAGGATATTGTCCACACACACATTGATCACTAGAAGTCATTCTTAAGTCTTTGTCTAAAGCTGTGTGGTGATGAGAAGCCCTTGGGTTGTACAACTCTGGATCAAGTGCCTCACAGTATATGTCTAACATGGTAATTTTATGATACTTTCCAGCTTCATATAAGCACTGCATCAAAGTTATGGTATCAAGAAACTCAGGCCTTTTCCATGATATGTGCACATTAATTAAACTTAATTTTTGTTCTAGAATTGAAAATATTTCTCACCCCTTTTTTTGCTTTATCATTTCTATGTTATTGGGTGGGGTGAGAGTTTAGAAGCAATAAATTGTAAGCCTAAGTGTAGGCTACAACTGTACAACGTCATTAGTGTCCCAAACTTAATTGGCAGATCATTTCAGTGGTGAAAGAGCGAGGTCAAAACAAAAGCATTTGTGCATCAATTGGAAGACAATAGATATCGAGAGAAACTAGTTCCATACATAGCTACATAAAAGAAACTGTTTTGATAATGTGCTTTCATTGATTAAAACTTTTGGGCAAGTTTTAGGTTTGAAAATTAATATGTCTGTTATAGGCTCCACTTGGAGGAGGAGATCATCAGAGATGTCAGAGATTTGACATCAGAGGCAGATTGTTCAATACATGAGTGACCTATGGTTTACCTGAGGTTACCATCGCGGAAAAATCTGAGATCACACCTCTTTTGGAATTTAGTTGTTGAAAGGATTCATAAAGATTGGATTGTTGAAAGAGGGCACATTTTTCTCTAAGATGGAGGATCACTTTGATAAAAGCATGTTTGTCTAGCATCCCTTTGTACTATTTGTCACTCTTTAGAATCTTTGTAACAATAGCTAGGAACTTAGAAAAGATGATGAGAGACTTTCTTTAGTCTGGGATGGGAGATAATAAGCGGGATCATTTAGTGAGTTAGGAGATAGTTTGTAAGCATATAGACGAAGGGGGATTGGGACTTGGTAATTTGGTGTCTAAAACATTTCTTTAGTAGGAAAATAATTATGAAGGTTCCTGTTAGAACCTAATTCCCTTTTACATAAGGCAATTAGGAGTAATAATGGCCTTTAGAGGAATGGGTGGGATACTAAGTCAGGGAATAACACAACCCATATAAGCCGCTGGAAATTCAGTTCTTTTCTTCCTTTGACACAATATAGAGTGCGAGATAGATCTAAAATTTTATTTTGGAAGGATACATGGATTGGGGGCTTAAATTTTCGTAATATCTTTCTTCGTCTTTATCGTTTATCCTTACTCCATGACGCTACTATTTTCTTTTTTTTTGTCGGGTGGACGGACTTATGTTCGTGGGATTTTCATTTTTTTTTTTTGGGGAAGTAATTGATTTGATTTCTTTGCTTCACATTCTCAATGACTTTCAATCTTTTCTTCTCATGATAGTAAACCCTGGAAAGTGGATAAATCTAAGATTCTCATGTAAATCTTTCTATTCACACCCTATTAGCTCCAGCAACAATGATTCTTTCAGTTTAGCCAATTATATTTGGAAAGCCAAAGTTCCTTCTAAAATTAAGGCTTTTTTTTGGACTATTGTCAGTGAACACTAACGATAAGGCCCTCTAAAGCATTGAGTCATGATATGTGTCTTACTTGTTTGTGTAGTGGAGATCGAATACTTATTTATTTATTCACTGTGGTTTTATGTGGTGGTTGTGGAATACATTATTCAATTTGATTGGTCAGGCTTGGGTTTCCCCATCTACAGTGGAGGGGTTGTTCCAGATTAAGTATTGAGGTTTTGGAAAGAAAAAGGAAGCTAAAGTACTATGGCATTGTGCGGCAATTCTTTGGTGTATTTGGATAGAGTGAAATACTAGAATTTTCAATAACCATTCTTAACCTTCTGATTTCGTATAGGACCGATTGGTTTTTATGGCTTCACTTTGGACCAAAGTCACAGGAAACTTTAGAAGGTTGCCATTGTCGGATCTTCAAAGGAATAGGATGGCAACTCTACTTTAGTTTTCTTTTTCTCCTTTTTCGCTTATTTTTTGAGGATATCTTCTCCTCTACATTGTAATACACTCTTTACTCCGTTCTTTAATAAAATTTCTTCTTTTAACCAAAAAAAAGAAGAAAGGAAGAGTTTGAGGCCTCACTATCACCAGAGAGCTCCACAATTTCTGCAATCTCTTCAGTTCTGCTAAGCCATGAGCCCGAATTCCCGTATTTAATTCAGCAATTTTAGTCCTTGCAACAAATTTTCCAACCAAAGTCAGAATGTCATCCTTCTCATAAAAGCAGCATATACGCATGACTCACAGAAACAAAATGACATAAATGTGGATAATGTTTTAAATACCTCCCATAAGATGGAACACTAATAGCTCGTTTGAGCTTTATTTCTGGCAACAATGCACGCTTTTCACTCCAGGAAACCTGTAATGTTTGAGAGAGAGAGAAGTGGAGCTAACGTCATATTAAGGATGTAGGAGTTACTAAAAACTTTCAGGAGTAACTGTATTTCTCAATTTTCAAAGCCCCCCAAAAAAAACTATTTATAGATTTATGGATCTGGTTGAGTAATTCTTGGAGTATACAAATACTTATGTTACACTCTCTCCAACAACATAAACTTTTAGAGTTGGTGGTTTTAACAAAGTATCAATAGGTCCTATATTACAAATAATTATATTATTTGCATGTGCTTCGGTCCAGATCTGGCCTGTTAAGCTTGTAGTTGGTAGTTTAACAATAAGCAAGGAGATGAGTAAGTCGATTAATCAATGATGCTGTGTTCCGATTATCAAGAAGAAAAGTTGTAAACGAAAGCAAAAAGGGCAAAGGAATTGCACGTATGTCTAGAGATAAACAAAGGCCCAACAAAATAGAGTACGACTTAACTAAACAGAACAAACAGAAAAAGTGAATGTTTCAAGACCATTTTCAAGGAGAGAAAATTTCACCTGACTGTCTTCTTCACTAAATAATTCCACAAGGATGAAGCTTGAAGGCTCCATGAAAAAATGTTGGACAATTGCCATCTGGAAAAAAAAAAAAACTTGTTACAACATGAAATTAGCAAGTACTTAACCAAGCTAAGTTGAGAAGCACATGACAGAAGCTGCCACACAACAACAGTACCAGAAAGCATCAATCTCTATCAAGAATTGAGCACAAACCTTCAGAGCTCTGACGAATGAGGACAATGTTCCATCCTGTCTTACAAAGTAGTTCCTCATGAATGTTGCCACTTTGTGCCCAACAGCGAAGCCAGAACATTGTTTCACAAGAACAGCCTCAACAACGGCATCCACTCTAGCGGATGGAGATCCCAAAGTGAATTTACAAGGGGAGAGGTATTGGAGCACATTTGAAGGAAGAACATTTCTCGGGGCATCAACAGTTGTTGCCACTCCCATCATTAAGATTACTGGAATCTTAAGTACCCATTCACTGTTGTAGCACACTGGTCAGCACTCACAGGCCAAAGAGGCATGAAAAATATCGCAAATATGAACATAAGCTAGAGATAACCGAACAATCTACACAATCATCCAAGCATGTTAAGCAAAATAAAAGAAAAGCTAGCTCTTTTTGATAAACAAGAAGTTTATTTCATCTACTCAAACTAGTGATTAGATTAAAACATAGACAAAACTCATAGGTAGTGCTTATGCTATCCTGTTTTGGTTGCATTTGACAATGCTCCGTTGGTAAACTACAGATATTTGCTTTCAAAAATCTCGGATGAGCCTCGAGCGATTACGAAATGGAAGAAATGAAAAACCAAATTTACTGCTGAAATATTGGTAGACAAACCAGGGACAAGTAAAATCCTCAAAACACATAGGGACACACTTATGCTGAACTAAGTTGGGATCCGCAATATAATGAGGGAATTGCAAAAGTTCCTGACAGGTAATGTGAGGGGTAGTGGAAGACCGAAATTAACTTTAAATGAAATAGTACAAAATGATATAATAGTCTATGGTTTAAGAGAAAATATGACCCTTATAAAGCACAACGATGAAACCAGATTCATGTAGCTGACCCCAAATACTTGGGGCAAGATTTTGTTAAGTTGGGTTGAGTTGAGTTGTTGAAAGTTCTTGACACCAGTCCTATTAGAGTAAAGAGCAAGAGGAGGATCTATACAAGGAATTTTAAAGTAGTAGATAAAGCTTCTGAAGAAATCGCTCTGTGCATATATCAGAGGTCAAGGTTGTTATCCATATATTTAGTTCAGAAACTAAGCAATACAAAACTAGTACATTTTTTCATAAGAAACACTAGCGCATTAGATCGAACTAAGCATGTGGCTTACTTCCCCCCTTCAATTTACTCCTAAAAATTTCATACTACAGCAGGCAAATGGTTTTACATGGCATAAGGCATAAGCAAATATTTGTGCATCTAATTCTTGGGTGCTTTGCAGCAACTTTCAGAAGTTATGTCCACCAAAAAATTGGCATAATTCGATATAGTCAAACTCCAAAGTTAGATGCAGCGGTTCATGAAATATTTATAAAGGATTGACATTTACAGTTGTACATCGCCTTTTCATGGAACTAGCTGGCACCAAGACCACCAGCTGACTTAATCAGGCACCATAGTGAATCCTATGCACTAGATTGAAGATGCTTAAAAACATGGTGTGTTGGGAGGCAGGATGCATTACTATACCTCAACATCAGGATGAAATCGGACAAGACAGACCTGCAGCACCTCCCCATATCACTAATAATCACAACCACCGGCTTCTCATAGTTTCCTTGTTTACAGTACCACGACGCTAGTATAGATATATCAGCTGCCTGTTCAAAAACAATGTTGTGAACAAGTATGAAATTCAAAGAGCAGTTCACCTAGAGGACTATGTTTTATTTAGATAGAGATATGTCAGTGTACTTACATCCAGGCTAACCGTTAAAAACTGCCTCAATAGACTTTTGAGACAACCTCCAATCCCATTCTTGGATGAGAAATCAAATGAGGAAAGGTTAGCCACATGGCATCCACGAGTCTTCAAATGTAGACTAAGGTCTGTAAATGTCTGTAGATCATCAACGAATTCCATATTCCCTACAAATAAATCATCACTAGTCAAATTCAAATTAAAAATACTGATAGAATAAAACACATAATATTATCGAAACTTATAATAGTACGTTTATGGATTCTCTGCGAATCTATGCAACAGGAAAGATATTTTTTCAGCCAAACAATCTAATGGTGAGCTATCTTCTCCTTATACTTGACATGTACTTCCACTTACTCCAAGAGTGAACTAAAATAAGTAACTTACTGGTGAAGACCAGGCCGGTGAATAATTGTTTACAAGTGGTGCCAGTTACAATGGGATAAGACCGAGTGGGTTTAGAGAGATCAGGAATTCCACATGAACGAACTACATCAAATGACTCATGAACCCAGTGATCAATCTCACTGAATACAGCAACATTGATATCCCTCAAAACATCCTGCAAATAGAAGTGCAAACAAAACAAGTTCTCTCATCCACTAGATAAACATCAATATCCCTCAAAACATCCTGCAATTGGAAATAACAAACGTGATCTTGACACTACTAATAACAAAATCCTGTTGGTTGTTGGGAAGCTGAAAAAGAGAAGGGAACAAGAACTTTTGTTATCGGCATTCTTCCTTTTTAGTCCTCGCACCATTGGGAAACTCGGCTACACGAAGCCAAATAAAATAGGCATACGACATATTTGAGGGGATTTCTTTTTCTTTTAAACCTGATCAGGTCCTACTAAAATGATAAATCTTAAGATTCAAGTAGTTGCACTGTTTCCATTTGCTAAATACTTTCAACAACCAAATGGAGGCAAAGGAAGGACACAGGATCAAGCTATAGAAAGAGACGAACCTTGATGGTGGACTCAATCTTAGACCATACAAAATCAAAAGTTTCCATTCGCAATTTCTCAGATTGTTGATCATCGCATCCTTCCACAGTATCGGCAACCAGAGTTTTAGGCAACGAAGGGGGTAAGTCAATCCTTCTCCTAGTTTTCGCAGCAGATTTTTTGTCAGATTTCTTTGGTGATCCTTTGTGGAGAACGAAAAATGGCTGTAAATGAACAACCCGAACAAACAAGTTCAATTCTCTATTTAATTGCCGACAAAGGTAATTGCAGAAAAAAAAAAAAAGTAAATGAGGTAACAAATTAGAACTCAAATCACAGTTGTTAGATTCGCGTCTTCTTACAAATCTGGTTAATATATACGTATGAGTGTGTGCGCCTGTGGAAGCATAAGAAAATAACCTGTAGATTTTTTTCAGCAATTTGGGACGTCGATAAATCAACAGCTGCGGAGGGCGCCATTCGGACGCTAAATGAGTTCTTGTACCCTTCTACCTAGGCGCTGCGCTAGGGTTTGCCGTCACTTGTCTATCTTTGCCTTCTCTCTCTCGTCACCTCATTCCCTCGTTACTCTTTTTTTTTTTTGGCGGGAAACACCAGGGGTTGGAATACGGATTTTGGACGTTACGACAGGGATAACTATTGAGTTCTTTACGGACGAACCGCAAAGAATGGAGTTTACGTAATTACAAATGTTGGGCAAAACGATGTCGTGCAACACATCCTTTGAATTGATTGGCATTGGCTCGTGTAAAAACTATCAAGAATAGGGATAGCAGTGGACCAGAAAAAAATAGGCATTCGTCTAAATTCATCTCGTTTGAATCGGGGATAAACTATACGTATTGAATGGTAAACATATACAAAAATATCTATATAAATCTGTACCGAGATGAAGACGGGGATGAATTTATCCTTACCACCGCCCCCGCTACCCATTACACGTTATATATATATATATATACTCTCAAATCCCAACTAAACGTATTTACTGTAACTATCAATTTATAAATATGGTAATCAAACTAAAAAGTGACATTGCTATGTGGTAATTTATCAACTTTTTTTCCTAATTGTTCTTTTTTTTATTTGTGCTAACTGATTGAAAATTGTTAAAAGTTTAGATTAATCATGCTCTAAAAACATATAAGAAATAGTAAGATTGTTTTGCATTTCATCGTGGGTAGAAAAATTGTGAATTGAGGTTACTGAGTTTTTCTGCTATAGTGAACTAAAAAATTGAAAAAATGATTGAATTAGCGAAATTTTAAGTTTTAATCTTTTAACACTTTTATGGATGTAATATGAATTGTAATAACAAAAATTATTCTAAAAATTTTCAAGTGCAGTGCTATCATTTTCTTAGTTCAATTTTCATTTTTCTTTTCTTTATTTATCTCTAATAGTTTCGTTTCTTTTTTTTGTTATCAAATGACAGTTTAAATATAATACTATATTGTTTTGGCTTGTTCGTTTTGCAATCTACGGTACGTTATGTTAGACTATGTTAAAATGTTGTTGGATTATTTAAAATATTATATTTATTTATAATTTTAGATTATGCTACTTGGGGTTGGGCTTAGGTTTAGGCGAATACGAGAATTATAAATTTACCTGCATACGGAGATGGGGATGGGGATGAAAATTACACCTGTTAATGGGAGTGGACCAGAGATGGACGAAATTTTTTTAAACAGGTACGTGGATGAAAACTATACCCCGTTTCGAAGAAATAAGTATTCATGGGGGGATAATGATTATTTTCTAGTAGTCTTCGACAGTGGTGATTTAATTTGTAGTTTCACTGGGTGAATCTCATAAATATCTCATGACTTGTATGATTTACTTCAATTGATCTCTTTTGTTATTAATCATTAAATGAGACAATTTGATATCTAATTTTAACAGCATGTATTCCATTTAATTGTTAACCTCAATGGAATTTATTTTATTTATTGGTTAATACGAACGAAATAGATCAATTGAAATAATTAACATGATTCAATTGATAAATTGGAACAATTAAAAATTCATGAAACAAATGTCATAATCTCAAGCCATTTTTGGGATTTACCCCACTTCTTTTGATGCATATGTGTTTTCGTCGGAGTTGATGAACTAAATAGTAGGACGATAGAGATCTTGCTAAGATATTTTTTATTTTACGAGTTAGGCATAGATAACTTAATTTGGTTTGCATGTTAAATATTTAAGTATGAGATAAAATCACAGGAGTTTAAGCAGCATTGTGGTGGTTGTGTGTAGTAGTGAAAGTACACCACTTGATTGTTAGGTTATGATGGGATTTTCTTTAAGGTTTGAATGTTGGGTTAATTACAAATTATATTTTAAAATATTGTTCGAATTTTAAAATTATTATTTTTTTTTATGTCAAATATAAATTAAGATTAAGAAAAAAAATGATTACAAATATATAAATTCCTCCCCCCCCCCCCCCCCCACAGTAATATACAAACTACTTTTGTGATACACCAATGTGCTCCCCTCAAAGTACTACTACCTCCATTGCAGACTTGTTCCCCCCCCCCCCCTACAAGTATCTTTGTTTACTTTACTGCAAATTTTACCATGGTCAAATATTCATTCATCATACGAAAATAAGGTTATCCACGCCATGTTCATCTCACATGCTTTCTTTCAATGTGATTATCAATAATTTGCTATTTAGCTTTGTATACAACATTTTAGATGATAACACAACAAATTGACAACTTTAACCGAAATCGCACAAGTTTAAGACTCTTTTTTAAAATTATAACACAACAAATTGGTTTTAAAATATAATTTTTGTGTTGGTGGTCTACGAGTTGATCAGTATTCTTTAATTATGAAATGAAAGACAAACTTTTCAAAAAAGAAATCATAATTTTTTTTTTTAAAAGTAAATACTGTTATGCTTTTTATAATCAAGAGAAATATTGGCGGTCAATCAATTTATTTGGAGAAAGTATCTATGTGATGTGATTAAGGATACATTTTCCTTCAAAAACATTTTAATTTAAACGAGGAGATCCATTTTTCCTTCCTCTCCCGTAAGCCCCAACCTTCCTCCCCCTTCACCGGACTACACAGTTGCCGGGCCTCTTAACAGCTCTTGAAAATCGACGCCGGCTACAGACACCATTGTCTTCTTTAAGAAGCCCGCCTTATCAGATTTTTCCGTCCTTTCTCCTAAGCCCTAACCGTTTTCCTACCCTCTTCGCCGGAGTCACACTTCTCCTCCACTCCTCATCTTTCTTGTTGTTTCACACGAAGCATCTAAGGAGGGAGATGGGGTGGGGAAGGGGGATCTACGACGGAGTAGTGGTGGTCGGTTCACTGTCGCTGCTGGGATGGGCCGGGCTGTGGTTCTTGAACCGTAGACTCTACAAAGAATACGAAGAGAAGAGGGCTCTCGTTCAGATCATCTTCAGCGTCGTATTCGCCTTGTCCTGCAATCTCTTCGAGCTCGTCCTCTTCGAGATCATTCCTATTCTTTCCAAAGAGTGAGTGAACACCCCCCTCTTCCTCCCCTTTTTTTTTTTTCTCCCACTTGATTTATGTTATACGCTCACTAAACTAAAAATTATCAAATGGGGTTGTGATACTGCACTAAGTCCTTGTCTTCATTCGATGATTCAAATATTAGTCCTATAGATCTACCCATTCGTTTGTTTGGGACTTTGGGCTCTGTCATTCCTCTTGCAATCAAACGCTGCTGCTTTGCCTTGGACTTTAACTCCCAATGTGACCAGAATGCCAATAACATAGTTACTGAGATATCAGTAGCCTCTTTACCATTCTCACTCAGACAATGCTAAATGCCAATGTTACATAGACTCCGGATGTGGGGTATGGGTATGTATTGAAACACCAGATCATCCAATCCCAAACCCAAGTTACAGAGATGGTTATATATTAAAAGTCTTAACATTGCTCTCTTATCTTCTTCGTCAGCATTGGTGTCTTAATAACATTGGTAAAGTACAACTAAATATTTAAGTTGACTTAATGGAGTTTTTTTTTTTTTTTGTGTTGGGTTCATGTCCAAGAGGATTTTACAGTCTGGTATCCATGTCATGTCATTTCATGTCACGTCAGGTCGTACCTGGCATGGGTGGATTGCATATTATAAATTTATTAAATATTAGTTTAACACTTCCATGTTAACTCCATTGAAATCACATTTCTTTTATTTTATTTTACTTTGGCTGAACATTTATAAATTAATTCTGCACTATAAAGCCCTTAATGTTCAGGTTTTGTCAAGTATGTCTCTCAAACAATCCCAGATGTATTGAATATGTATTCCAAATTAGAACACTGTTATTTTCAACTCAGGTGTTCATTAATGCAGTATCAGACATATATCTACATGTTATTGTAAGTATTGATTTCCAATGTTGATTCAATGCAAATATGGCTCCCTTGCTAGAATTATTCATGCTTCATAGGTTTTATCCCACTTACTCAATATGTATGCCCTTTCTCACTCTTTTTGAGGCACAACAATAATGGATATTTTCTTATAACACTCATCTTATGTGTTATCACCATGATGCACGTAAGTCTAGAGAGCAGTGTATATGTCCAACTACTTTGAAGTACTGGTAGTTTCTTTTGGTGGTTGTTTATTGTTATGCTTCTACATTTGTCTTTATTACAATTATAGATTTCTGTAGGTGATGAATAATTATGCTTCAATTGTTTTCATTTGTTGATGCACTAACACTTATGGTTGTTCAGGGTATAGTCATATGATAATCTTTGTTGCTTAGAATATTTACAAGAATACTTGATGCAAATGTTCTTGCTTTTGCTTCCATGTTGAGGAGGCTATGGTAAGATAACAAGAAGAGGAATGTTTACAAATGCTGTAACAATTATTTACTTTCACTAATGTAATGTAGTGAATTGAGGGGGGCTTTGTACAGCTTTTAATTGATCCGTAATTGTCTTATTCCTTTTGGCTGCAGGGCGAGATGGATGAATTGGAAGGTGGATTTGTTTTGTTTGATAATGTTACTGGTCTTCATGTTGCCTTACTATCATTGTTACTTAATGCTTTGCAACAGCGGTAAGTAGCATTGGACTGTAGCGACTCATTTATATTCATTTTTCCCTTGGAGGGAGCCAGGGAGAGAGTGCCAATGCTGTTTTCATAAAATATTTGCATGACTATGTAGTCACTAAATCATAGATATTGTGTAACACAATATTTTACCAGAAAAGGCATATGTTCTTTTGGCCTAGTATTGTTTTTAGGCTTAGCCCTTCATCCTCGTTAATTGTGGATGCTACAAGTAATGGGTTGAGGTTGCAAGAAGGGCATGGTTGCTTTATTTATTACCAGGGATATGACATTAGGAAGAATTGGTTAGAGGAGATAATTCATGTGGCAAACAATAACATGGTGCAGTCGGGGTTAAGCTTTTATCGATTTGATGCAACTTTGAATGGAAATCATGTCTCGTTGATTTAATATGTATTGTCTTAGATTAAATCTAAAGAATGCGCCCTGATTTCTTTAGTATATTGATTAGTCAAGTGTTTGTCTTTAGATCATAGTCCAGTTTTGGGGTGGGTTTGGGCTAGTGTGATGTGGCCAATATCAGTATGCAATATGGCTCGGGGCTACTTGCTGACAATGTGTAGTTTTTTTTCTTTTAGTTAGGCTAGATATCCAGAGCGTTACTTTCAAATTTGTGCAAGTTATGTTAGGCATGAAATGGTGATTCTAATACTTCATTGGAAGGATATGTATGAGAGAATTAAGACCATCATATTTGTGTCAAATAAAATAAGGAAAACCTAAACTTGGTGATGGCTGCAAGCTTGAACTCTAGCATTCTAGGTCAAGGGCTTAAGGCCTGGTGCTTAGTACACACCACAACTTAACTGACCTTATCCCAACTATTTGGTGTCGGCCACATGGATCCCATTCCACTATTGTGCTATATTAATGTCATATTTTTTGTTATATCGTAAACTATCATATTTTTTACTTTCTCATATAAAGTTAATTTTGCTTACTTTCACCTTTTCTATTACGTTAATATGTATCAAATCACTCTTACTCATTGGTGCAATACTATGTCTTTGATAAACATATCCAAAAGATAAGTTCTACAAGTCAACCATTAGAGCAACATCTGTTTAAAGTTTGTTCTGTTTATTTCTAGCCATTTTGGTTTTCGTTTAGGTGGATTTCTTATCCACTGTAGTGCACTCTTTTCACTATTTTAAAGAAAGTTATGTTTCTTATAAAAAAATTTACTCAATATACCATATGTATTCCTCTTCTATTCTTTCGTGCATCAATTATAGAAGTGATGTCTCCAAATTTTCCTTTATTGTGGATAATTGACTCAAAATATCGAAAGTATTCACTCTATGATAACTCTTGATCTTCGATTTTTACTACTTTACCATGTGAATTTGTGCTTATATACTTTTCTTTATTTCTTTTGATATTAAATTTTCTACTTCATTAGTACTTCCTAGTTTCTACTTTAGTTTTATCAATCCACACTATATCATCAACAAATAACTTACCTCAGGGAACCTCATCCTAGATGTGCTTAGTTAATTCATTTTATACTCAAGGCAAATAGATAAGAACTTAAGGGAACCTTGATGTAATCCTACAGTCATCGGGAATTTATTACTCCTTCCTACCTGCACCATCGTACTGCAAAATGGTAATTAGGGTTAAAATAACTGTCATACGAAGAAAAGGGACAACAAAAATGTATACGTAAATATAAATGTTTGAGATATCACATAGTTCACTATGTTTCAACTTGGTTGCATCATGCTAGCCAAATGTCATAGTTACCGCCGTAAGTGCAATTGTGTAGTGAAAACATTTCTTGCAAGTTTTAAATATCCTTTTGTCAGACGAATGTACTGAGCCAAGTGTTGTTGGTTACCAACCTCATTTCTTTGTGCGTATGGTGTACTAGTAACTTGTGCTTTTCACAGAGGGGAAACTATGCCTTTCCCAAAACTATCACTACCAATTAGAAAGAGTTAAAAAGTAGATAGTGTTAAAGACATAGTATGAGACATAAAACATCCACATACAGCAGAGTGGGTGAGGATGAATCATGCAACCTCTAAATCTCTTAGAAGATAGATGAACAAAAGTGGGGATATAGATGGTTTGTGTTAAGCTTCTACTTGTATTGTGCGTTGATGTCCTTTAACCCTAAGGAAGGAAGAGGTAAAAGAAAATATGTTTGTTGTCTACCTGGATTCTGCCATTTTAATGAGAATTCAGTACAGAGGATAGTGTCTCTGGCCTTAAAAAATGTCAATGATTGTTCTTACATAGGGATGGAAAGGAGTTGGATGAAGCTTGGGCTGAAGATGGATTAGTATCAGTATTGTTTTCTTAGTTCAGGAATTTTAATACCATAATCATTAAAATTCGAATTTGTTTATTTTAGAATTGCCTTTGAAGACAACCTTATTCAAGGAGGGTTTAACCTTTTTCCACTGAAGATATTTTGAGTATTGTGATTGGAATTCTCTCACTTTCTTCTTCTTTCTCTTTCACTCTCTTTGGTCCTGCATCTAACGATTAAAACCTTGATTCATTGTGGTTGTTTTGACTGGAATGTTTCTGTTTTTGTGGAGAACTAAATGAATTAGTAGATAAAATTTGAAAAAATCTCATGTTTTACATGTTTCGGAATGCTTGAGATGTTTCACGATGTTTTAGAATCAAAATTTCAATTTTTTTCTCAATTTTCATCGTGTTTGTGAAACTCTCTCTCTCTCTCTCACACACACACAAACATATTAGTCACTGAATCTTGGATGTGCATTTCAGGTGTGAGGAAGGAACGGGCTGCACTTGGAGCCATCTTATTCTTGTTGGCATTTTTATATGCTTTTTGGCGAATGGGCATTCATTTTCCTATGCCATCACCTGATAAAGGTTTGGATTTACTTCTTCATTGGGACTATGTGAAATAGATGAATCTCTCTCTCTCTCTGGCTTTTTGTCTATGAATCTATGATTTTTGTTGCCTATCGATTCTTTTGTCTCTTGCTTCACCCTGATGTGCTTGCGGTGCACCACCAACCATCAAGAACCCACAATCTCCTTCCTTTTGATAACTATTCTGTTCATTTTTAAGAATAAAGCATCGCTTGCATCAGAATCCTATTCACTTGTCTCTTTTTGGCTTTATTATTTGAAATTAACTTCGGAACCGAACCCGGGTGCCTGACCTCCATTCTATCAGGAACCAATTCTGTATCTGTCTTCTGGTTGATGCATTTGCTTCATTCCTTGTCTACATGCCATATTTGCAGCATGCATCGATGCATTTTTTTTGATGAGGTATCAAATTTGTCCCTTCACTTGACTTCAATATGTTCTATGTTCTATATTTTCTTCTCTTTTTCGGTAGCATCTATCTTATTTTTTGGGGAAGATGACTTCATATTGTGTAGCTGTTTTCTAAATGAAAAATAGTCTCTGGTTGTTTGTTTTATCGTGGTTTCACTTCTCAGGATTTTTCACCATGCCTCAGCTGGTCAGCCGAATTGGGGTGGTTGGTGTGACTCTCATGGCTGTCCTATCCGGTTTTGGAGCTGTGAACCTGCCGTATAGTTATCTGTCACTTTTCATTAGGTGAGAAAGATGTATATAAATATAAATATTGACATTTTAGCTAAAAATTCACTATATGTAAATAGGCTTCCATTGCCATTTTACCTAAAAATTCACTACATGTAAATATACTTGGGGACTGGTTGTGTAAAATTAGTTTATGATCTCCAACATTCTTGGAATCACATAATGAGTATTGGCTGGACCTTTTGAAATTTCAGTAGTAACTGCATTCAATCTATCTACTGATATCACATGCCAATTGAAAATGGTTTACGTTATGCTAAATTTTTTTCAAACCTTCAGTTTAAAGTCATGTATTTGAAATCAGTCCATCCATTCACAACCAAGACTTCATATTTTTTTTGATAGGTAAGACTTCATATTACACATATATGTAGAAAATACAATTGATATACCACCTTTTTTAAAATATGATGAAAGGTGGGTAATGAAACTGTCAGTTTCGGAGTTAAGTTGAGCTGCATTGGTGTTTGGGTTCATCAAGTCCTTTTTTTCTTGTCTTGGATTGTTTCCAGTTACAAATAATCAATATTCTTTTTTCCACTTTCCCCTGTGAACACAAAACTGTGAAATGCATATGCAGACAGATTCAAGTCCGGGTTTTACTCTCAATTATAGGTAATAAATCCCAATCCTGTAGTATAATTAATTTCCAATTCAGTGAGAAAATGCCCTGATTTCCTAGACATTGATTTTGGGTCATATGGTTATCTATAATCTATAATATAAAACAAGACATGCTTCAATAAGCTGATCTGACGGTTTCAAATAGACTCATCCAATAACCACTAATATACCTATCAAAACCATTCACATTGCACCGGTTATCCAACAAAATGTTCAATTTCAAAAAGAGTCTTCATTCATTTGTTTGTTTTTCGTTGTTAAGAATTTCTGGTTTTCTGATAATTTTCAAAATGAGGCAGAGAAATTGAAGAAACAGAGATCAAAGGTTTGGAAAGACAGTTGATGCAGTCAATTGAGACTTGCATTGCAAAGAAAAAGAAAATAATTCTTTGTCAGATGGAGATGGAGCGAATGCAAGGGTCGGAAGAGGTTTACTTACTACATCAA